AGGATGTTTAAATCTAAACTGTATTTATATTGAGCATGCCAACTTACACATGTAGTAGATAGTAATTAATGACTGATTGCTAGTATTATAAAAGTACTTGATATGTATACAGTTCTGCAAAGTTTACAAATCACTTTCAAATGCTTTATTTCATCGGATAACTCGGAAAGATAAATACAGCAGAAAGTACTTACTAAAACATACTTTAGTGGCATAAAAAAGACACACTTCAAATTAGCCATGTTGTAAAATGTGTAACATATAAGCGAAAAATGAAGAAATTTTTTTTTGCCTAAATTATACCTGTCTTTGCTTAGATTTTTTATAATTACTAAAATACTTCTAGGGGAGCAAAATTCCACTTTTTGTTTACTTTTTAAAACCCTCTGTTTTATTAATGTTCCACAAAAATAGGCCACATTTGTATTTAAGAAAACAACTTTGGGGAGGGATGGTCAAATAGACTGATGAATCAGTCAGCATAGACTAGACTGTTCTCATTTGTGAATGTATTTCCTCAGTTTTATCAGTTCCAGACTGGAATATTCTTTTCAGGATCATTTTACTTTTATTTAAATTATCTGTGACCTCATCAGAATTTGCTGACTACAGATTCTGCTATTGTAAGTTTTCTTTAAGGATCATTATTTTTTTTAATTTAATTTTTATGTTAAGTTCAGGGGTACACATGTAGGTTTGTTATATAGGTAAACTTATTTAATGGGAATTTGTTGTATAGATTATTTCATCACCCAGGCATTAAGCCTAGTACCCATTAGTTATATTTCCTGATTTTACCCTCTCCTTCCCTCCCGTCTCCGATAGGCCCCAGTGTGTGTTGTTCCCCTCTATGTGTCCGTGTGTTCTCATCATTTAGCTCCCACTTATAGTGAGAACATGCAGTATTTGGTTTTCTGTTGCTAAGTTAGTTTGCTAAGGATAATGGTCTCTATCTCCATTCATGTTCCTGCAAAAAACATAATCTTATTCTTTTTAATAACTGCATAGTATGCCATGGTGTATATTTACCACATTTTCTTTATCTAGTCAACCATTGATGGGCATTTAAGTTGATTTCATGTCCTTGCTGTTGTGAATAGTTCTGCAATTAACATACACATACATGCATCTTTATGATAGAAAGAATTATGTTCCTTTGGGCATATACCTAGCAATGGGATTGTTGGGTTGAACAGTTATTTCTGTTTTTAGGCCTTTAAGGAATCATCGCACTGTCTTAAACAATGGTTGAATATTCCTACCAATAGTGTATAAGCATCCCTTTTTCTCTGCAACCTTGCTAGCATCTGTTTTTTTTTGTGTGTGTGTTTTTGTTTGTTTGTTTATTTTTTACTTTTTAATAATAGTTATTATGACTGGTGTGAGATGATATCTCATGGGCTCATGGGGGTTTTGATTTGCATTTCTCTAATGATCAGTGATGTTGAGATTTTTAAATGATTATTGGCAGCATGTATGTCTTCTTTTGAAAAGTCAGACTTAAGATTTTAAAGAAAAATATTTCAAATTGTATAGAACTGTTCATTGTGGCAGAACTAATACCATAAGAAAAAATAAATGTAAATCTACAGATTTCATTAAAAACATATAAAGAGAATGTTAGTATAGCAAATGATTCACTTAAAAGATTGTAAGCCATACGATGCTACACTGCTGACCAAGGTAACGTTTCACCTCTCCCTTTACATAGAGATCATGGTTCACCAACATTTCCTGAGTGTCAGAAAGGCCATGGGAGGAACAAGAGGAATGTGGCAGAGTCCCTGACCTTAAGCCACTTCTACCTGCATGGGCCCCATGCAATTAGCTATAATCAGATGTTATGAGGGTGAGGTCAAAGCAAGTTGCATTTTGAACCCAGACAAAGGCTATAACCCCCCAAAAGGGAGAAGAGGACACTTTACTGGAAGGTTAAAGGTAAAGAATGGAGAGAACAACATTCTAAGCAGAGGGAAGAGCACTTACAAATGCACAGTGGTGCAAAAATGATCACAATCTATTGAGAAAGGCAATAGTTTGATTAGAGTAAGGGAGGTGAGAGACTGGACTGAAGAGATAGACAAAGAACAAATACCATTGCTTAGAACCCCAACATGTCATCTGATACATGATGCTTAGAACACTAAGCCATCGACTTCATTTAGACTCAGTGTACTCTATGTAAACATATAGTACACTAAGACATTTAGACATTACTATGACCATAGAGAGCTATTGAAATATTTTAATCATATTTTTAATTGTAAGTATTTACTCTGAAAGTCACGGGAAGGATACATCTTAAAGTTGTGAGTGGTGAAGACGGAGTGACTACTAAGAATATGACTGCAGTAATATGAGTCAAAAAATATCAGCCTTAACTAAAGCAATACCATGAGAGAAGGTATATTAAGTTTTTTGTTGTTGTTGTTGTTGTTTTTTAGACAGAGTTTAGATCTTGTCACCTAGGCTGGAGTGCAATGGCAGGATCTCAGCTCACTGAAACCTCTACCTCTAGGGTTCAAGTGATTCTCCTGCCTCAGCCTCCTGAGTAGCTGGGATTACAGGTGCACCACCATGCCCAGCTAATTTTTTGTGTTTTTAGTGGAGATGGGGTTCCACTATGTTGGCCGGGCTGGTCTCGAACTCCTGACCTCAGGTCATCCACCCGCCTAGGCCTCCCAAAGTGCTGGGATTACAGGCGTGAGCCACCGCGCCCAGCCAGTATTTTTTAAAAAATAAAACCTATCAGATTTGTTGGTTAATTCAATGTTTTTAGGTTACACCAAGGGAAACTGAAGGAGAAAAAGGGTAAGGCCAAGATTTCTCACTCAAATAGCTTGGGAGGTTTTGGGACTTTCATTGTGATAAGGAAACAGAAAGAAACAGATGTTGTAGGAAAAGAATGAAGTTATTTTTGTAATGTTGAATTATGGGCATCTGTGAAACCCAAATGGAGATGTGGAGCAGGCAGTTAGAGGTAAAGGTCTGAAACTTTGAGGAGGGTTTAGGTAGTGTTGAATTTGGTAAAGAAGGGTGAGGAAAACATTCTACACAGTGGGAAGAGGACTTAGAAATGTATAGGGGTGCAAAAATGCTCATGATATATTGAGAAAGCCAAATAATTTGTTTAGAGTAAGGGGGGCGAGAAGGTGAGAGACTGGACTAAAAAGAAAGACAAAGAACATACACAATTAATATAATACATGGAAAGTTAAGTGCAGGTTTGTATTAGGTTGCCCAGAAATAATGAATGCTGTGGGAAAAGGAGAGGAAATCCAGCATTTAAACAGTATACGTGAAAAGAGAAACTGAGAAAGACTTGGAAGCAATGACCGTGAGTGTGGCCCCCAGAATGCTGCTATGGAAATTTGCACTAACCTGACATCCTCGACTGCATTTCTGGACTCTTATGTATATTTCAAAGTGCCAATTAGATGGTGTTTCTGCTCTGCTCAAAGATTTTTAGTGGCTCCCCATTGTTCTCAGCATAAGGACAAGCACCCTCACCAGGTCTCACAGAGCTGCACTGTCACACAGAACTGCTTTCAGTCCCATCTTCTCTTACCTCTGGTGCTTAGAGGTTTATCTTTTTCTCTTTGCATCCACCATTTTCCCAAATGCAGTCCCCATCAACCATGGTCTCCCATCAACTCTCTCTCAGTTTTTGTGTCTCCAGACCTCCTTTCCTAGTGGAAACCCTTCCAGAAGTATCTAGGAATGGTTTCGTGCCTCTCCTCTGTGCCCTCATGGATTTCATCAGGATGTATCATGTTACGAGTGATGTCGGTGAAGACCAATATACAGGAATGAACTGAAAATGAGATACTGAAGGCCAGATGATCCGTTTGGAAGCTGCAGTGCTCCATGTCCAGGGGTGGTGTGGTTCTGGACTAGAGCAGTGTTATCAGTTAGGGTTGTTTGGGTTGCAAGCCACAGATACCAAAATTAGGTAACTTAAGCAAAAGGGGAAGTGAGGGAAAGATATTGACTAGCTCAGTAAATCTACAGAACAGCTGGAGAACCAGGCGTAAAATAATGAGGAGCCAGGGAATGCCTAGAGCCTTGTCAGCCACAGCAACCCTCTCATGTGAGCACTCTGCTGGATTCAAGTACCTCTCACAGTGGTTGTGCTGTCTGCTACTTGGCTCAGACTTCAAAGTCTAGGACGGGACCACAGCATTGGTCTGTGTGGAGTTGCATGTCCGATCCTTTTGGGAGAGAAGAGAAAGACACTGTTTAAAAACAGTGTCATTTGTTGACTGTTGTTTCCAGTAAAGACAAGTGGTTCAACGAAGAAATGAAGCGATTCCCTCAAGGAAATGAAAGCAGCCTCGTATGAGAAACATGATTCTCAGAAGGAGTAATCAAGAGATAGGAAAGCTTGTGTCAAAAGGAGGTGGGATGCGTACTAAATGGTTTTTGTTTTAATCAGTAAGAAATAGTCACTCTGCAGTATAGAAACATAGGGAAGGGATTCTTGTTGCAGCAGTTAAGAAGGAGGAACTCACAGGTCCTTGTGATGATCTCACATGAGAATGCTGTCATGCTTTGAAGGTCGTCTGCATTCAAGGAAAAAATGCATCATCTTTTCCTTCAAGAGATTATATTCAAAGCCACTTGGTCATGTTTTCAAATTTCACATGACATTTTCCTCCAAATTTTGTTTATGTAGAGATCAGACATAAGAACAGTGTGCAGTGAGTTCTGGGAGACAGGAAACACATCACAGGAGCTAATCATACTCAGCTTAATTATTAAATTCATTTCTGGAGAAAAGGATGGGTCCTCCAAATTAGAATCTATGAGATGCTCTCAGGAAAAAGATTCCATACCAGGACCACTGGCATGCAGGTGTTGAGTTTCTGATTGGGGAGTTTCTATTGGGCCATAAATTCATTGTATGTCTTAGCATAAGTTACTTAGTTTCCTTAACTGTAAAGTATTTTGAACAAAATCCAAGGAACTCTTCTCAATTTTGAATAATATCACTCAACTATATAGATACTTACATATTGACCATTTTATTGCAAATTCTTCACTTCACAAACCTGTCTTCAGAAAACTGGAGAAGGTCAAGCAAAGCAATCAAGATGATTGAACTCAATCTGGGTTTCTTAACAAACACTTGATTTACAGATAAAGTGTACCAGATATTGAGTTGTATATGGGTAAAAACTTATCTTTATTCTGATGAGACAATGTCAATAAAGAATATACAAGTTCATTTAAAAATTTGTAGGATGTCTGACATTAAGTGGGGAAAGTGTTATTTATAGATGATAGAGAGATAGAAACTTGTAGGAAGTTTATTCATATGGCAAGCATGAATCTGTCATTTCCTTGAAAGATCTTTCCTTGGGGATGACTCATTCTTTCCAGCAAACACACTCAAGGATCAAGGACACACTTTCGATCCCCTATAAATAGCATACATAATAGTATGTACCTATGGAAGAAATAAATATTTGCCTCAAATTGTTTGGCTCCATATCCCAGTAATAAATGTTTTCTTTGAGTTATATCACAAATTGTGCCTGATCATTCATTATTTAAGAAGTTAAACTGGCTTCCATTGAAACATAGAATCATGGTTCTATGATTCCATGACTCCATTTACAGCGACAATTTGAAGGGAAACTTAAAAGAGCTGCTCCCTGTCTCACCTCAGCAAACATCCCCTTGTGTGTGGCTGGGCCTGGCAGCTAAGAGTGGAATACGCTAAAGGGTGAGAGGGACCAGATGTCTCAAAACTGTTACAGATCAAAGCCAAAGTAAGTGAAGCAAAGCTATGTGCATAGGGTGGACAGGGAAACAGAAGCAAAGCTATGTGTAGATGGTGGACAGGGAAACTAAAGCAAAGCTATGTGCAGAGGGTGGACAGGGACAGATCTGAAAACAAGAGAATGCCTCTAAGAATAAGGCAGATTGGATTGCAAGCTGTGTCCTGTGTGGACACATGGAGGCCCGTGTGAGCACTGCCCACGGAACTGAAGTAGCCATGGCTTGTTGCATGGACTGTTAGGCGTGTGGCGTCTGGTTCAGATTAAATTAAACTGGGGAAGTCTATGATAAAGTATCTTTACTTTCTTCTGTAAGGTCCCCCCGAACTTGCTACTCATATTGACTCTTTACTTTCTAGAAATTAACACAGAGAGGAAAAAAAAGAGCAGTTATAAAATTCACAGATTCATAAAAAAGAGGAAAATGTTCTCTCTTTTCTATCCAAGACAGGCAAATCTATATATAGCACTAAAATCCTAAGGAGGACATCATGTAATACAATGTTTAACATTTTCAACAACATTTGTAAGGTATATGCAATGTTAAGTTTTAAAGTCCTGTTTTACGCAATATTCTTTTACTATGTTCCTTCTGAAGGATTTCTGATGCTGTATAGCAGTCAACCTTTTTGTTTGAAACAGCGCAAGAGAAACTGTACTACATGGGTTTTATGTGTGACTTCTCTTCTGGGCTCTAAGTGCTTGAGATCAAGAAGAACGTCTAATATTTAATCATTAAATAGCCATGGAATTGTAACCACATCATTAACCTAACTCACTTTTATATAATGTACATATAAAGTTCTTTGTGATTTTTTTTTTATTATTATACTTTAAGTTCTAGGGTACATGTGCATAACGTGCAGGTTTGTTACATATGTATACTTGTGCCATGTTGGTGTGCTGCACCCATCAACTCGTCAGCACCCATCAACTCGTCATTTACATCAGGTATAACTCCCAGTGCAATCCCTCCCCCCTCCCTCCTCCCCATAATAGGCCCCGGTGTGTGATGTTCCCCTTCCTGAGTCCAAGTGATCTCATTGTTCAGTTCCCACCCATGAGTGAGAACATGTGGTGTTTGGTTTTCTGTTCTTGCGATAGTTTGCTGAGAATGATGGTTTCCAGCTGCATCCATGTCCCTACAAAGGACACAAACTCATCCTTTTTTATGGCTGCATAGTATTCCATGGTGTATATGTGCCACATTTTCTTAATCCAGTCTGTCACTGATGGACATTTGGGTTGATTCCAAGTCTTTGCTATTGTGAATAGTGCCGCAATAAACATACGTGTGCATGTGTCTTTATAGCAGCATGACTTATAATCCTTTGGGTATAAACCCAGTAATGGGATGGCTGGGTCAAATGGTTCTTCTAGTTCTAGATCCTTGAGGAATAGCCACACTGTCTTCCACAATGGTTGAAATGGTTTACAGTGATTATTGAACGTATGTGTACACACACACACACACACACACACACACACACACACAGCTTTTTTTGTAAATTATAGAACCCTGTTAATAGGGTCCTAATATTTGTATGTTGAGATCCTAGTTCCTGATGTCTTGAAGTGGTGTTTTCTGTGTCATGGGTCTGATGGCTGGGAGATAATCATTTTATAACTGACTCTCCCCACGGTGTCCCCACACTAACCCACACTGAAACTCATCTGCCACTTCCCACGCCCTCAGCCAGCCTGGAGCAATCCTCCTGCTGCCGTCTATCCCTGTCAGCTTGACGTCTTTCTATTCAACAGCATTTTTAGTCTTGTCTGCAAACTTAGAAATGACACAGTGCACCCCCTCTTCCGGATTAATAAGTAAAATAAGAAATAAGATTCATCCTGACAAGCATTTTATAAAACATTCATTAGTCCTTAAACATCTTTAAAGAAACTTGTTTTTATTGTTCTTGGTGGATTTTTTTAGCAGCTTCATGATAATTGAGATTGGAGTAATTTTAGATTTGCATGTTTGTTAAAATACTTTCAAAGGAAAAATAAAACTATAGCGTGATGAAATATTGGATCCTAAGATGTAGTAGGAGGACTTTAGAGGAACACAACGCTGTGAAGTGACCGTTACAGAAGTGTCCAAGACTTAAAAAGCTGCACCAGAGAGAAACAGTGAAAGATGACAGAGCCAGAGACAGAAAGAGAGAGGAAGAGAGAGAAAGAGAGAAAGAAGAGGAGAAAGAAACAAAGATAAAGAGAGAGACAGAGACAGAGCAAGACAGAGAAAGAGATGGAGGGAGAAAGAGAGAGAGGCAAACTGAGAGAAAGAGGGAGAGAGCTTAAAAAACAAACATGGAGCTGCCTTCAGCCTGGGTGCCCTGAAGGAAAAGGGCCAGCTCTGCAGTCTGTGTGGGGCTGGAGTAGAGGGGAGCAGAAGGGAGTGGAAAACAAGGACTCACCCCCTTTTCCTGATTCAGCTGCCGTTCCTTTGCTGTTTCCTGTGGCCGGTACAAGCGCTCCTAAAGGGTCCCTGGGAACAGCTGTGTGGCCGGCGCCTGCATAACCCATCCTCTCTTCACCTGTGCTCTGTTCAAGGCTCCTGGAAACCCTGCAGAAAATGCACTTCCTTACATGTTAGCCTCTATCACCACCTAATTCAGGGGACTAAAAGATTTGCAACGAAATCAACATATTACCTGTAGTTGAGCCTTCTTGGAGAGGAACCTACCTTCGCCCTGCGTACATATACCCAGTTGGCCCAGCGCATTTGGGGCACAGCAGGTGTCTGGGATGGCATCAGGCTCACGTGTCCAATGGCTCATCTTACATCACCTGTATCTGGGGAGGCTCCCCAATCAAAATGCATGCGAAGGTGAATATGAAGGATTAGCCAAGCACAGATGATAATGACTGCTACCATTATAGTAAATTTTATATACCATTAATATATATCATTATGTTAATTCAGCTATTTACAAATATCAGAGGTTTTAAGACTTCAGGTAGGACAGCAATCATACAGAAGGGCTCCTTCAATTAAATCCTCCAGGGTTGAACAGGGAACCACAGTGGTGCTAGCTCACCAATTTTTAAAGCTGTGGTTTGTTTCTGTTCCAGGATCTGAAGATGGAGCTTCTTTGATTTCAGTCTTTTATCTTCATATCAATCTAAAGCCAGTTGATAGGTATCTAGCTAAGGTTGCCTGTGTCTCCTGCATTTATAGATTGTTGGGGCTGTATTAATTTGCATGAAGTTGGTAGTTCACAAAGGGACAGAGGGTCGTTTCTCAATGTTTTTTTTTCTCCATTGAATCCTCCATAGGTCTCTATGTGATCAGCACATTTCCAGCTTAGTATCCAGTGAGACGTTTCTAGATTCATCATTATCTTAGTATCTGCTCCACATGTCATCAATTTGCAGAGGAAAAGTCTTGAAACAAGTGGCTCTAATTTGTTGTATTTTTGCAAAACTTCATAGTTTATAAAGTGCTATGGAAATTTTATCATATTCGATCTAACCGATATCTCTTAGGATCTATAGTAAAATGGTACAATCCCTATTTTACTAATAAAACACTATGTTGTGAGGTATTAAATGCTCCCCAGAGGGCAAGGACAAGCTCTGGCTTTTCCAGTTAGGTAAGTCTGCAAGATGATCATTCTCAGCTTCTGTCAAAGTTTTAATGTGTCCTCACTAACTACCAAGGGAAACATATGAGCATGCAGAATCAGAAACTGGCTCTCTTTGGCTTTGGGAGTCAAGACTGAACTCAGTGAATTTTCTTTATTTTTGATTTCAGCTCCAGGGTAAGATTATGTTAGTGAATGAAGGAGTTGACGAGGTGCTGCTTTCCCCTTTTGAAAGCAAAGGCTCAACAGAAAACCACGTGATGTGTGGCTACCTGACCAACACCCAGCCAGCATCTTGTCAGTTCAGAATCATTAAGTGGACATCTTCCCTTCTGGGTCCTGTACACTTGCATTTCTCTGCCTCCTTTCAGAAGAAGGTATGTTAGTGGGAGCCACTTACAGCCACCTCTCCAGGGCTTTACAGGTGCACCTGTGTTCTCCACACCGTAGCTAAGTCCAATTCTCTGTTCCTTGTCTAGGATGAGACAATGCAGCTGTCACCTCTCTATGTTCTGGGGCATTAGTTTAGAATATATTCTCCTGGGTTTCCTACGCTCAGCAGCTTTCTGGATAGATTTTTTTTTAAAATGTACTCAGGTCCTCCAGACGTAAATCAAATGTTGGCTGCTTTTGTAATCACTTGTTTTCTTTTGAACCTGGAAATCACATGTGAAATTTCATCTTTCTAAAATATAAGTTTAGGGGGCTATTTGATTATCACATTCTTTTATATACCTGATCTATAAGACTTTGTTCATCTGTAAAATGGGTTGAATGATGTCTGCCTGATTTATTCCACGGTGTTTCTGTGTCATGTCTTACTATGCCTAAATTATTGACTGGTATAAAATGTCCATTCTGAAATTGCCCTCACGGTGACTACCACTGCAAACCTACACATGTGTATTATCATGTGCCTGCATAGGCTTTATTGCCACCAATGTTTTGATCAATAGGAATTTATTGAACTGGCAAAGAATAGGTGAGGAATAAATTAAAAGTTGTAGGGTGGTCCGCCTGTCCTCTGGCTGCTCGGAGTGCAGCAATGGAGCTTGAACTCTGGAGCCAGACTGGCACCCAAACCAAGGGTGCTGACTCTGCCACCCTCTCACTGAGTGATGCTGGGTGTTTTTGTTTCTGTTGGCCTCAGTTACCACATCTGTGGAATGGTGACAGCAACCATCCCTAAACTGCAGGGCTGCTGGGGAATTCAGTGAGCTCTTTAATGTACACCACTTTGAAGAATGGCTTGTACATGATAAATGCTATAAATGTTTCTTAAATATATATATAAAATAGATGTTCTAGTGAAGGAAACAAACGTATTTTATATAATTTTACTATAATCAAACAGCAGGCAGGGAATTTCTTAAGTACTGCCTATGTTAAAGGAAAGATGAGCTGACAGGACAAACGAAAAGGAGACTATTTGGCATGCACCTGGGATATCATCCCAGGCAGGTTGTACCTGGGGAATGGCCTGCAGCGTAGTACAACTGCATAATGGGTGCCTAAGATAGGGTTTGAGGGCTGCGCTAGAGAGGCGGGCAGGCTCATTAGCCGGGCCTGGTGGTGTGTGCCTGTAATCCCAGCTACTTAGAAGGCTGAGGCAGGAGAATCGCTTGAACCTGGGAGGCGGAGGTTGCAGTGAGCTGAGATTGTGCCATTGCACTCCAGCCTGTACGACAGTGAGACTCCATCTCAAAAAAAAAAAAAAAAAAAAAAAAGGAAAGAAAAGAAAAGAAAAGAGAGGAGGGTAGGCTCTCCTGGCCACAACGAGAAATCTCTTTCTCCTCTTTCAATGATCTGACTCTTGTTTGGAATTTCTGCTCTAAAACTTGAAGTCTGAGGGGAAATGTTTGCTTGATTTGTGTTTCCTCTGAGATTGAATTTGACTGGAGATAATGCTGGCATACCCAGAAGCTGCATGTCTGCAAATATCTGCCAGTTCTATTCTTGAAAATTGACATATGTCCACATTCTACGGAAGGATGCTTTTGCGATCCGATTAGAAATAATGGAGCCCACAATGTTACCCAAGAAGTCAATTCCCAGGAGCTAACAGTGTCCCATACCTAGCACCATGGCCCAGGGGAACCCAGAGAACAACTCTCCTCCTCCAAATGGACATGACAAGCAGGTACTTCCAACACCAGCCAGCTTTGCTGCTCAATTTTCAAAGGATGCCTATCTCTGATAAAGGGGTGACTTCCACACTTGCTTCGACAAACCTACAGGTAGATTTAGAACAATGGCTTCTGTCTCACATAATTGCTCCTTAAACAAGTGCTCTCTTGATTGGAAAAGTGATGATTTTATTTCATTTTATTTTTAGAAAAAAAAAAGTCACTGAGCACTGGATGCCGAGGACAGCTGGAGTGCGTGGGACGTGGGACGCTATTTTTTCCTAGCTGCTTTGGGAACCAAGCAGATGGGTGGCTACTTGATGACATCAGGGGCCATGGATGGTGCATTCCAGCTGCTGACCACGTGAACACGTTTACTATGGGCAAAGAAGAGAATTTCCCTCCTGTGCTCTGCTTCTCCCTTGGTCTCAGCCTCCTTAGATTGTTTTTCTGGGCTACTGAAATCATGTCTGCCTCCTTCTCTCTGAAACAGGCAGCCATGGAGCCTCCATGGGGAAAAGAATTTCCAAGTACTCTTTTTGAAACATGCAAAGGGGCTTTGCAGGATTCAGGTAACTTGGTCAGAGCCTGGACTTTCTAAACGAAGCAGTGCCGTGAACTTTCTCCCAAGTCGTGTAGATAAGACAAAGCAGCGCTCTCAGGAGAGCTTGGCTCACAGCAGAGGGTTGGAAGTGAGTTTTCTGCAATCACAGCGGGAAGGTCTGAGGTCTTTCTCCTAACCGTAGACATGCCTCTGCTGTTGGAATGGAAACCAGTAATGAAAAGATAACACTGTATATGCATATTTGCACTTTACAGTTTGCAAAGAGCTCTATACTTTACACATGACAAATGTGATTTCAAATACTCTCAGCTAAACACCAACTACTGGGGCCTCTTGTGTTTGCAAGACAGCCAAGCCTTCAGACATAGGCTCAATATTTCATGGCTGATGAGATGTAAAATCCTCTCCTACGATAAAAGCGTCTGTGAATGTGTGAGTGACAAGCGGCATGGCGTCGTGAAACACGTGGGCTCCAGTCCTGGCTGTCCCAAGTCCCTGTCTGAGTGACAGTCCGCTCATCTATTAAATGGGGATTATTCCCCACATTGCCCACCTTACAGGATTAGATTGGGTCAGAAGAAAATCCATTTGAGAAACTGCCTTGGAAATTATAAAGTTTTGTGTACATGTTACTAATATTACGAGTAGTCTAAGGCTGACATATTCTCAGGGATATTATGATTCTACATGGAATCTTTATCAAACAATAAACCTAGACTTCCCAAAGACCTTACTTCTTTGTGAAAACAAGAACACTTTATATCACGTCTTCTTTGGCATGTCCCTCAGAAAAGGCCCGGAACAAAACCATGTTAGATGGAATTCGGTCTGTCTGGTGCTTTTGGCATTGTGTTTTTTTTTTTCCTCCCTGTATTTCTAAGTTAAGCTTTACAATATCCCTGTGAAGCAGGTAACACCTCTGAGACTTCACCTTTGATGAACCAATGCTTTGAAATTTGAGGATTTCTCCAAGACTCAGCTAGCAGCAGGAGGAGCCGGGATTGGAACCCATGCCTTCCGATCCTGACAACCGAGGCATTGTCAGTGGTCGGCTTTCTTGCGAGGATCCAGCAGGCTCTGGTTCAGCCTCCCTTGGGAGTTTGCTGCTTTAGAAAACCTTTTCTCATTTCTGTTTGGTCATATGAGATTTCATCTCTGGCTTCCCAAGAGTCTCTGTGGGAAGGGGACTTGAAGCCAGTTTGGAGTTTTAGTAGAAACTTCTCCAGTACAAGGCAGGTACTCAAGGGTGGGTGCAGACTTGATTTTACAAGTACATCTGTTCTGTTTATTTTTGCTTCTTTGCAGTATTATCAACTTCTGCTCCATATGGGTGATCCATATTGTGCCTTGGTGAAATGATACCACATTATGCTTTTATGCCTTTATCATCAAACACTACTCATGAAAAAATCACCAGGTTTGCCTAGGTTCATCTGTTCAATTTATTTTTCCCAAACTTTATTTTGAATAAAACACCTACGGTAAATGTGATTTATGTAAATGAATA